ATATATAAATACATACGGATATGGATATGTACAAGTATATCATTTGAATAGTCAGGTGTTTATATATTCCTATACATATCAACGAATATAAACGAATATCATGGTTTCTAAGTCTATAGTATATTGTACGTGTTTAGTATGTGATGTGCGTATTCCATGTGAGATGTGTTAACTGGTATGTGTAAGTATATCGGCTTTTATTTTAATATGAGATTGTCTGTATACTCCACGCGTATATGCGAATACTTTTAAATGTATGAGCAATTGTGGATCAGCACATGTCACGGGGGTCGTGTTCGCCTGTTTCACGTACGGCCTCAATGGTACTTTATTTATAACACTGTAGATAAATTTGCATTACATGCTTATATTGTGTACACCAGAACACAGATAAGTACGCATGTATAAAAATGTACTGTAATATACGCCGATTGGTAAGTACGTCCTCATAGTATAGTCCCATGGACATGTATGCATGGTCAGTGTCAGATGTGCTTTGTGTATATATGGTCAGTATCAGGTGTGCTTTGTGTATATATGGTCAGTATCAGATGTGCTTTGTGTATATATGGCCAGTGTCAGATGTGCTTCGTGTATATATGGTCAGTATCCGATGTGCTTTGTGTGTATATGGTCAGTATCCGATATGCTCTGTGTGTATATATCACAAGTATATGACACCCCCTCACATCCACACCTGCATACCCCCCTCCTCTCGCACAGCTAACCCCTCTCTCTCTGTCTACACACACACCCCTCTGGGCACTGGATTGGCCGTAGATTGAGCTGGGCATGCGTAATCACGAGGTGGTGCCTCCGTCGCTGGTGGCGTCTATCAGTGGGCTGAGTGGCAGTCTGGTGTTCAAACTGCTCAAGGACCTCACGCGACACAAACTCATCTCCTACGAAACCACAGTGTGTATGTGGCCAATGCAAATGTACCACCGTCTATGATTCTGGGGTCTAGGGTTTAGGGTTTTGTGGCTGGTTATTGTAGTACGATGGTACGTGTATCTGTTGGTAGTGTGCCAGTTTGTCGTGTGGTGCGTTGTGTGTTGGTTTGGCCGTTTGCTGTCGTGGACAAGAGCGTATGGGCCTGTGGTGCCTCATAACTCTGAAGCCGTTTGGGTTGATCCCCAATCCGTGTGCAAAAAATAGATGTGCTACTACTTGTAGATGTGCCCTCTCAAGTGCTTGCATGCTATAATTTGCTGGTAAGATAAAAGCTTCATTTCTGTATCATACATACGGGAAGGTGGTATGCTTTTGAGACAAATAGAGAGAAGGTTAGCGGCAGTGTGATTCATGGTTGCCATCTCGAGCGCCTGAACCAATCCAATCAGCTCATAACATCGTACGCAGTGGCCGCACAAACATAGTCAACTATAGCACATGGGCCCCTGTGTGATGATAGGCTGCTCACTACCTGCCCCTCATTTGTTATGTCCAGATACAATATACCGTCTCATCTACCATAGATACTACGTAATAGTAGCACACGCATAGTCAACTATAGCACATGGGCCTCTGTGTGATGATAGGCTGTTCACTACCTGCCCCTCATTTGTTCTGTCCAGATACCATATACCGTCTCATCTACCATAGATACTAAGATACTGCACAATAGTAGCACACGCATAGTCAACTATAGCACACGGGCCTCTGTGTGATGATAGGCTGCTCACTACCTGCCCCTCATTTGTTCTGTCCAGATACGGGATACCGTCTCACCTACCACGGCTACGACTGTTTGTCGCTGAAAGCAATGACCAACCGCGGCAGTCTGTGCTCAGTGGGCAACCAAATCGGGGTTGGCAAAGAATCAGGTTAGTATTAGGCGTCACGTATTGGTAGAAAGGCTTATGACATCCCCTGTCGCGTATGTTTCTACGCGTGAGTGTGGGTGTGTATGCAGATATAGATGTCAACCACGTGTGAGCGAGGAGTGGATGGAAGGCTCGTACGTTTCCGTTTGTGAGTGAGGTAGTGGGTATTTGTACACCCCAGCAAGCCTGTGTTATATCGACTGAAAATATGCGTTACGGAAGATATCGATGTATATTTGCGTCGATTATATTCCCTCATGGACGGCCACGTTTACGATTACACAACATATACCTACACGTCTACCTACATGTATACCTACATGTATACCTGTATGTATACCTACACGTATACCTACATGTATATCTACACGTATACCTGTATGTATACCTACACGTACACCTGACCAGTGCACTCATCTCGAGACTACACAATCCTAAACACACATACGTTGCAGACATATACGTTGTGGCAGATGCAAACGAGATCCAGCACGCGCTCAAGTTCCAGCGACTGGGCCGAACTTCATTCAGAGCCATTAAGAGCAAACGAGATTATCTTAAGGGCCGTAGCGGCGGCAGTTGGCTGTATCTGTCCCGTCTAGCTGCGCAGAAGGAGTACGCCTTCATGACCGTATGTGTCTGTTTCCAATACGGATGGATTATAGTATATAGATGTGGATGTATATATGTATAATATATATACATATATCTATATATATATATATATATATATATCTATATATATATAACATATTATATATATGTATATATATATATATATATATGTATATATATATATATATATATATATATATATATATATATAGTATACTATATATATAATAATATATATATATATATACTATATACTATATATATATATATTATATATATA